CATAATTCTGAATAAAGAGTTCTAGAATCTCTGATCAGCCAATGATCTAAGACCTGCTTAGGAACGTCCTAAACCCAGGTAAGAAGTCAGGCTGCTTGGAGTTAAAATTAAAGGGACACTATAGGGGTAGTGGTTATGTTGCTTGGCGTTATAATTAATGGGACACCATAGGCACCCAGACCACTTCACCTCATTGAACTGGTATGGGTGCAGTGACCCTGCTCCCTTAATCCTGCAATATTGTTTACATTGCAGTGTTAAGACTGCCTCTAGTGGCTACCTACCAAACAGACACTAGAGGCTCTTCCTGCAGTTTCACTGAGTTTGGTTTGATGCGAATATGCATGTGAAAGTCCAGCGTCTTGATAAACCTAATATGAAAGCACTGACTCAATACAGCTTTGTATTCATAATTCTATAGTGATCCTTTAACCCGATAAGAGTAGATCTTAACACAAATTTTTTTTTAAATATATTCTTTATTTTTTTATATTGTTGTGCACAAGAGAACAAAGAATGCACAAGAGAATCAGATAACAGAATAAAACACTTTGCATGATGTCATATACATTCAAGAACGTTGTTATGGTACGGCACAATTTTATAATATAATAGAAAAATCAGGCATACATGTCCGAGGACATAACATATATAAAATAGGAGATTCTACTAACACAATTTTATTGTATTACTTACTGCATTAACTGTTTCAAAAGGCTTCCCTCCAGTCTAAGACCTTAGGGAAACATCTGAACTCGAGCTGTGAACATTCTATGCTGGTTGTCACTATTATTTGTTCATTGGAGCCATTTGCTATTACAGTTTTGACACATATTACATTATTTTCTTCATCATCTATTTTACCTTGATTGTTTGTTTAACCTTTTGGGACAAAGCCATACGTGAAATATAGTTTGAGTTTTCCGCGGGTTAGTAACTAACTTTCATCTTGCAAACAGTGCTGCAATTTAACCCATAGCAGCAAACACTTTCCATTTGGGAAGCAAGAGACTTAGACCACCAGAGAACAAAAACACCATTAAAAAAGGTAATTAGTCCATCTACTTCAATGTAGTAAATGGGTTTAAAGAGTTCTTGTCAATGCAGCCACAGCAGAAAACAAGTGATCCATTGGAAGCCAGACAGTCTGGAGCAAGATGACCTGCACAGATAGATATCTCCACTAGAATAAAACATCCAGGCTCATCATTTAAATCCAATTGTCTTAGCATATTTAGTCTATTGATGCTTAGTCCTTCTGCAACGTTGGATCTCTACCAACATCTGATCAGTTCTGTAGATGAACCCCTAGCTCAAAATGTAATGTTACAGCGGAGAAAGACAGTGAACCAATCAGAGGCAGAAAGAAAAGAAAAAATGCGTCCATACACTTGCAAGAAAAAGTATGTGAACCCTTTGGAATGATATGGATTTCTGCACAAATTGGTCATAAAATGTGATCTGATCATCATCTAAGTCACAATAATAGACAATCACAGTCTGCTTAAACTAATAACACACAAAGAATGAAATGTTGCCATGTTTTATTGAACACACCATGTAAACATTCACAGTGCAGGTGGAAAAAGTATGTGAACCCCTAGACTAATGACATCTCCAAGAGCTAATTGGAGTGAGATGTCAGCCAACTGGAGTCCAATCAATGAGATGGGATTGGAGGTGTTGGTTACAGCTGTCCTGCCCTATAAAAAACACACACCAGTTCTGGCATTGCTTTTCACAAGAAGCATTGCCTGATGTGAATGATGCCTCGCACAAAAGAGCTCTCAGAAGACCTACGATTAAGAATTGTTGACTTGCATAAAGCTGGAAAGGGTTATAAAAGCATCTCCAAAAGCCTTGCTGTTCATCAGTCCACGGTAAGACAAATTGTCTATAAATGGAGAAAGTTCAGCACCGCTGCTACTCTCCATAGGAGTGGCCATCCTCTAAAGATGACAGCACCGCAGGGCTCTAATTTCTAAAAGTTTATAAAGCTTGGATTCTGAAAATTACCGTTAGCGTCCCGAAGCCGCGACACACGCGCATGGGGGACAGATAACATACTCCCCCCAACCGCAATATATGTAAAGGAATGTTACATACTTACCCGTCATCCCGCTATGCCAAACTCGTTAAAAAAGCATGTTACACTGCAGGGCCGTAGGACCCTTGCTCCTATAAGTCTACAGGCCCTAGATCCTGAAATTTATCGTAAGCTGCCATAAGCCACGACCCACACACAAGAGGGACAGATAACACAACCTCCCAACCACACTGCATGAAAAGGCATGTTACTTACTTACCTGTCATATCGCTAAGCTAAACTAGTTAAAAATGCATGTTATTCTTCATGACCTGCATTTTTAACTAGTTTAACTCAGCGATATGACAGGTAATTAAGTAACAACGTATTGTGAAATAAGACTGTATGTCCCGTAAGGGCCAAACCCGCTCAAGGGGACTGAAAACAAATGCGCCCAACCCACTCTCTCGCACTAGGGGCCAAGCCATTGCAGCCCTCACACCCCCTTACAATCTGAAACCACACGCACTACACACAGAGTAATCTGAGTGTTATATGACTAAAAGGTATCACTCCCCGGTTGCATAGGAACAAGACACAGGGGGTGGGGAAAGAGCGGCACACCGACAACCCACTCTCCTCCCCACAACCCCATGCAAACCAATACTACCGAATACACCTGACCTACACTAAGAAAACACAAGTGACCAAACCCCTACCCAAACAAAACCAGACTACCTCTAGAAACATAAAAACATAGAAACATGGAATGTGACGGCAGATAAGAACCAATCGGCCCATCTAGTCTGCCCAATTTTCTAAATACTTTAATTAGTCCCTAGTCTTATCTTATAGTTAGGATAGCCTTATGCCTATCCCACGCATGCTTAAACTCCTTTACTGTGTTAACCTCTACCACTTCAGCTGGAAGGCTATTCCATGCATCCACTACCCTCTCAGTAAAGTAATACTTCCTGATATTATTTTTAAACCTTTGTCCCTCTAATTTAAGACTATGTCCTCTTGTTGTGGTAGTTTTTCTTCTTTTAAATATAGTCTCCTCCTTTACTGTGTTGATTCCCTTTATATATTTAAATGTTTCTATCATATCCCCCCTGTCTCGTCTTTCCTCCAAGCTATACATGTTAAGATCCTTTAACCTTTCCTGGTAAGTTTTATCCCGCAATCCATGAACCAGTTTAGTAGCCCTTCTCTGAACCCTCTCTAAGGTATCAATATCCTTCTGAAGATACGGTCTCCAGTACTGTGTACAATACTCCAAGTGAGGTCTCACCAGTGTTCTGTACAATGGCATGAGCACTTCCCTCTTTCTACTGCTAATACCTCTCCCTATACAACCAAGCATTCTGCTAGCATTTCCTGCTGCTCTATTACATTGTCTGCCTACCTTTAAGTCATCAGAAATAATCACCCCTAAATCCCTTTCCTCATATGTTGAGGTTAGGACTCTATCAAATATTCTGTACTCTGCCCTTGGGTTTTTACGTCCAAGATGCATTATCTTGCACTTATCCACATTAAATGTCAGTTGCCACAATTCTGACCATTTTTCTAGTTTACCTAAATCATTTGTCATTTGGCTTATCCCTCCTGGAACATCAACCCTGTTACATATCTTAGTATCATCAGCAAAAAGACATACCTTACCTTCAAGACCTTCTGCAATATCACTAATAAAAATATTAAAGAGAATGGGTCCAAGTACAGATCCCTGAGGTACCCCACTGGTGACAAGTCCAAGCTTCGAATATATTCCATTAACTACAACCCTCTGTTGCCTGTCACTCAGCCACTGCCTTACCCATTCAACAATATTGGAATCCAAACTTAAAGATTGCAGTTTATTGATAAGCCTTCTATGTGCAACAGTGTCAAAAGCCTTACTGAAATCTAGGTAAGCAATGTCTACTGCACCACCCTGATCTATAATTTTAGTTACCCAATAAAAAAAATCAATAAGATTAGTTTGGCATGATCTCCCTGAAGTAAACCCATGTTGTTTCTGATCTTGAAATCCATGTGTTTTTAGATGTTCATCAATCCTATCCTCTACACACGCGACGCCTGGCAACTAACTAGTAAGACCAGGATCCACTCCACCTCCCCTAACCCCAACCCCACCTGGACAGATCCCCATACCTCACACACTCCCCCCTTCATCACTACTTCTCTCTTCACCTCTACTCCGTCTTTCTTTTCCCCTCTCCCCAGCCAGCCCCCACACCGCCTACACCACCAACCCCGAACACAGGAAGACACACACGTTAGGAGCAACACCGCACCATCAGGCATGCCGGCCACCCTGACCTGTCTATCAATTAATTGCAAAGGCTTGAACAACCCCACCAAACAGCACCAACTAATGCGATGGGCAAACAGATCTAGAGCAGACATACTACTCCTCCAGGAGACACACTTCACTCAAGCTAAACAGTTCCCTCTCCTGAGCCGACACTACCAAATCAACCACTATGCCAGCTCCCCCCACGACAAACACAATGGTGTAGCTATCGTTATACGGAAATCATGTCCCCTCTCCATCCAACATACGATAGTCGTTCCACAAGGTCGATACCTCACAGTCACAGGCAAAATAGGCACACACTCCTATGCATTCACCTCCTTATATGCACCAAACACCCCCTCCAGCGCATTTTGGCATACGATCCAGGCACACTTAGCCCTCTTCCCCTCCCACCACTCCATTCTCAGCGGGGATTTCAACGCCATCCAATCACCCACGGTGGACAGACACCGCGCACAACTGCACATACGCCACCGGCAACCGACGTCCAAATCAGACAAACTGCTCTCCTCATTCACCTCACGCACTCACCTGATAGACGCCTGGAGATCCCACCACCCCACATCCCTAGACTACACCTTCTTCTTGCACCCACATCAATTACATTCCCGCATAGACCTCTTTCTCATATCCCCAGCACTGTCGCCCATGGCCAAAAGCACGTCCATCGGCCCCATTACGTGGTCCGACCATGCAGAAATAACGCTAACGCTCAACCTACCATGCACAGGCAGACCCTGGTCATGGCGACTAAACCCCATCCTACTGCACAACCCACAGATCAGACAATCAGTCGACCGAGCCATTACAGATTACTTTCAACTAAACAAGGACGGGGCAATCTCGGAAGGGACCTTATGGGCAGCTCACAAGGCAGTAATCCGGGGAGTCATGATAAACCAAGCAACCAAGCAACAAAAAAAACAGGTAGCCCACCTGGAACAGACACTAACGACTCTCAGGACCCTTGAGGCCAAGCATAAACTCAACCCAACGCCAGACCTAACCGAACAAATCAAAAAATGCCAAACTGATATAAAAGAATTCATGGCGAAAGACTCGACCAAAGCCTTACTTTGGTCAAAACAATTCTTCTACGACAAAGCAAACAAAGCCGACACACTACTCGCACGCAGACTCAATACAAAGAACTGAACACAAACAGATAAATAAAATAATCACACCAGAAGGTGTCCTCATGGTGGACCTGGAAAAAATTGTCAGCATCTTTCAAAAATACTTCGAGGCTCTATATGACCACACACCCGAAGCACAACAACATCCAACATCTAGTAAAACACTCATAGACCAATACTTTAGTCAGGTACCACTGCCCTCCTTACCCACAGAAGCAGCGCAAGCACTGTCCAGCCACATAACGCCGGAAGAACTCGCGGGGACGATAAAAACACTCTGACTCCCTTTGCTTCCTCCCGCGTGGCTCTCAGTGTTAGCTGGGAGGAGTGACGTGCAGTCACTTCCTCCCAGCTTGTGATGTCATCACAGGGTTGGTCCAGTCGCGCTGTTTAAGCTCCCAGTGCTGACCGGGCCCCCTGACAATCCACATCCATCGGGTGGCCCTGACAGTATTGGCCACCCGATGGACCCCTTGGGCGGCGGCCCTGGCGGTTTGCTGCGTGGGCCGGGGCCGCAGAAGATGATGGCGGCGGATACCCGGTCACAGGGGTCCCTGCGACCGCGATATGTACCACGCTGGAGCCAGATACCATGGATTTAAAAGTTTATATTGACACTCTAGTAAGTTAAGACAGTGAATATTTTTATAGGCCTCCCCCAGGACTTTCTTCAGTCTTCCCAACTAATTGGGGTATTTAAATTGAAAGCCCATTTCTTGAGAATAGATTTAATATATATGTCAGGATCACTTGTACCCAGATCTCTACATCCAGCTACCAACTTCGTTAATATTTTTATTTTCAATAATTTCTCTAACTCCTCCACTTTATCTGGTTTAATAGCCAGATGTTTGCTTAAAAACCCCTTTATTCTCAAATAAGTGAAAACTTCGTTGCTATCTCAATTATATTCAATACTCAATGTGTGGAAATCTTTTAATTTGTGATTACGCATTAAGTTACTTATTTTGAAAATGCCTCCCCCACCATCCATTTTTGTAGATTTAAATCCTCCATATTATAAACGATATGTTCTAAAGAAAGGCCATCACTCCAGTATTCTCGGTCACCACTTTCACTATTTCATGGTATAGGGCCCTATTTTTTTATTACCTCTATAGCCCACTGTACAGCCCCCTTCAATGCCAGATGAATAGCATTCTGCTTAAGCAGAGCTGCAGGACTTGGATACTGGTCCTGCCGGTCACCCATAGGCTGTGAGACACAGTTTAGCAGTCTTAGTAAAGGAGTATGCACGCTCGTTCCTAGCTGGCTAATGACACAGCCAGAGGTCCCACCTCCAGCAGCAATATTAAATATCTCAGTATGTACATCCTTTTACACTGAACACTGAAGTGGTCATGGTGATTAAAGTAACCATTTTAATACCCAAATGTCACAGGTCACAATCCTGCCAAAGAGGATTGAGCAACAGTTTAAAAAAGAGGGGCCAACCCATCGCACTGGACACTTCAAAGTGTCAAGTGAACACAACCATTAAATGGTTTCTTCTCAGTTGAATGAATTAAATTTGAAGCTTTAGTCAAAAGATCAGCTGGTTCATGTCTTGTTTAATCACATCAAAGACTAAATTAGAACTCTTTAACTGCTAATGTTAAGATTGTAATTTAACTAATTTCCACAGCATGCTAAAATGGCAGTCTGTATAACATGCTCCTCAATCTGTGTCTGCAGTATCTCAGTTCCAGACAAAGTTTCAGCAAAGGTTTCAAGAAATGTCCATGAATGAACTAACCTATTCTATGGTGAATCTAATGGGGACTCCAGGAGACCTCCAAATGGAAATTATTGAACTTCAATGTGACACGGATCTGAAAATCAAATGCAACAAAGTGTCTCGCCTAGAATTTTACCAAAAGTATTTATTTAGAAAAGGGAATATTTGTCAATTTAATAATGCACACGGCAAGAATCGTTTCCCTCTTCGGAAGCATGTGCTTATGTGAACAGAGGACAAAAATGACTGATTCATCATCAATCATCAATTACAGAACTAATAAGCACTGTAAGGGCAATATTAATGTAGGGAAATTAATAACATAATAAAAATACATACATGCAAAATACCTGGAATGTTTGTGTTTAACATACTTAACTACCTTAACAAAAAACACACAGCAATGTCTATAGACAACAAAATCGGTTACTGACACACCTGTCATGTTATAGCGTCATTAATGTGCTCGGATATATGTAGCCAGCAACCTGCCATGTTATCTTTTATGTAGTAAATTTGTGACGGCGATCTATCAAGCATGACATTCCAAGGTTAATGATGAAATCTAAGTTTAAGCCCAGTTTTAAAATGGTAAAAATGTTCTGACTTTGGTGGTGTGAATGGCAGAATAAGGTGTTTTGTGAAATCCAGATTGTGATTTTTATAACTGTCATGTGATACAGACGGAAAATTAGATTATTCTTGTTGAGGCTTTATTCGTTGATTTTCACTTCTCTGATGATTCTGACCGTGTGCTGGTTTCATAAAAATTAAAATAGAGGGGAAAACTGCCAAAAATTAAACTTAACTAAAATGTCCTTTTATGTAATAACAGCATCCCACATGGTTGCATACTTTTAATTAATTGCATAACTTATTTTCATTGCTCTCTAGAAAGTAGTAATAGGTTATTTTTTGTAATTTTAAATTTTACAATTTATTTTACATTATTTTTCCCGGTGCACTGGAGTAGTGATGTCGCGAACCCGAAATTTTCGGTTCGCGAACGGCGAACGCGAACTTCCGCAAATGTTCGCGAACCGGCGAACCGCCCGAAACGCCATTGACTTCAATGGGGAGGCGAATTTTAAAACACACAGGGACTCTTTCTGGCCACAATAGGGATGGAAAAGTTGTTTCAAGGGGACTAACACCTGGACTGTGGCATGCCGGAGGGGGATCCATGGCAAAACTCCCATGGAAAATTACACAGTTGATACAGAGTCTGGTTTTAATCCATAAGGGCAGAAATCACCTAACATTCCTAAATCACAATCAATATGGATTGACACCTGACATATGACATGTTGACACCTTGACATATGGATTGACACCTGTCCTCAGAGCCCCTGATGCACACGGACACAGAGCAGAATAGAGACTGGTCCCCCTACATAGGGTCACTTGGCAGATATGGATTGACACCTGTCCTAAGGATCCCTGATACACACTGACACAGAGCAGAATAGGGACTGTTCCCCCTACATCGGGTCACTTGGCAGATATGGATTGACACCTTGTTACAAACTGCTATTTGTAACGGGCCCTTTAAATGGCAAATTGCCCTGTTTCCCTGGGTTGTGGAGAAGCCTCTTTGCCAGCCTCCTCCCGCATGACTATGGCCCCTGGGAGATTGTGAAAATGTATGCACTTTTATTTGGTGTGTATGGCCCTTTAAGACTGTCGGTGGGCATATTGGGGCTTATGGACTCTTTATGTGACTGGTGCTGGCCCTTTAAACACCTTTTTTGGGACATCAGGAAGATTGGGACACTGCCCCTTTAAGGCCGTGTCCCCAGACTTGTTGGGGACACGGCCCCTTTAAGACGGTGTCCCCTGTGTCCCCAGACCTGGTGCAAACCCTTTGTGCCTGCCTTGCTATTTCCCACTTGGTTCAGTAAATGGGAAATTATTTCAGCTGCAGAGACTAAGTCCCATTCGGCGATGGGACTTAGTCTTTTTTTCAGCCGTTTTTTTCAGCCTTATTTCAGCTGCAGAGACTAAGTCCCATTCGGCGATGGGACTTAGTCTTTTTTTCAGCCGTTTTTCAGCCTTATTTCAGCTGCAGAGACTAAGTCCCATTCGTGATGGGACTTAGTCTTTTCAACCTTATTTCAGCTGCAGGAGACTACGAGTCCCATTGGCTGATGGGACTTGAGTCTTTTCAACGTTTTTCCATGCTTATTTCAGCTGCAGAGACTAAGTCCCATTGGTGATGGGACTTGAATGCTTTACCTAAACGCCGTTTTTTTCAGCCTTATTTCAGCTGCAGAGACCAAGTCCCATTCGGCGATGGGACTTAGTCTTTTTTTCAGCCTTATTTCAGCTGCAGAGACTAAGTCCCATTCGGCGATGGGACTTAGTCTTTTTTTCAGCCGTTTTTTTCAGCCTTATTTCAGCTGCAGAGACTAAGTCCCATTCGCCATGGGACTTAGTCGTTTTTTCAGCCTGAAATAGACCGACCTCACAGCCCAAATCTATGGAACTGTTTTGGGCAGGAAAATGTGCTTGCAGTCGGTCATAAAGGGACCTACAGCTAACTTTTTAACCCCTGGATGGATTTGGCCGATTTTTTGGTTATGTTTATGTTTTAAGTGTGCTGATTCCAAATATGTAATTATGAAGATGGGATGTGTAGTTTTAAAGTTACAGGGTATGGCTAAAAACTGTATTTTTACTGCCTGTGCTTAATTATGTTAATCTCTTCCCAAACGTCATTTCGTTCAAAGTGGAGAGAATGTTAAAAAAATATATTTTTGTTCGGAGTGTGAGAAATGCTTTTCAGCCGCTTCTAATCTTAAGCATCATTTGAGTGAGCCATACAGGAGAAACCCAATAGTGGTGTGTTTAGTATTGTTCTTGACTACTAATACCTTCGCCTCCTGCAATACCAGTGACGGTATATGGCAAGCTTATTTTAGGAACCGCGGCAACTTGGGACCCTATAAGGTCAAATTCGCTCAACAGGCTTACAACATTTGTCCCTGGAAACTATCCTGACATTCTGTTACAATTTGTAGGCGGATATGGCAGTGATTTCTGTAACAGGGAGATGGAAGAAGATGCTTTGGTCGGG